AAATAAAAATAAAATCATAAGAAAAGAAACCGTCTCATTAGTATTTGTCTTTCCACAAAATTAATAGAGAAAAGAGAAATTCTAACCATGGCCATGTATTGTAGTTCATATTATTGAAAAAATGTTCTGCAAAGTATCCCACATGGCTTAATAAACAACCTTTGAACTTCAGTGACATTAACTTTCTTATCAGCAAATTGAACCTTGGCTATCAATTAAAGTTAATAATTGCTTTGTACCAAAATGATGATATATTAATACCTACCAAAATACACATCAAAAGACATAACTTAAATCCTAACAGGTCACAGAGAGCTCATCACTATGTTAGACAACTTTGTATGGTTTGAAGGGATACCTTTCCCTTCTTTTGACATATGTTATGAAACCATAAAAGATGTACGAGACAATTTTGTGATAAATGATGACGATGTATTCACAGTTGGTTACCCTAAATCAGGTAAGCAAATAGAATTACAAATATTCTATTGTGAAAGCTATGTCTGTGTTCCTCTGTCATTTAACAAAAAAGGGATGTTGTGTATATAAAAGATAATGTAGAGTGCTTTGGAAACCATAGAGCAGTGTGTCATAGTACTTCCACTTAAGGAAATATAATTAGTCAGATATTTATACAGTAGGATCAGTGCTGAGCAGGGATTGTTCAAAATACCAGGGAAATGTATATTATAAAACTAAAGGCATATTGAGCTTTATTATGTGCTGGGAGAAGAGGTGGAAGAGGATGACATTCATAAGTTGTGTACCAGTAAAACGACATACAAATCCAATTAAAAAGAATTGGTGTCAGATTCTGTGAGGGAGAGATATTTTCAGGTAGAAGACTGATTAGTGTGTATGTTCAGCATATGGAAAATGGTCTATGAAATTCAATATAAAAGATGTGCATCATAAACTCATGAGAGTGAACTCAAGGGTAGGAACAATACAAACTTGGGAAGATCAGTCCTGCTGACAGGGAAAAGCACATAGAGCTAAAAAGCCAGGAGAGATGATATTCCCATGAAACATGTTTCAGAAACATTCAAAATGAAGAGGCACTCAATATTTGTTAACTGATAAATGTTTAAACAAGCAGTGGTATGAATAAGTGAGCTATCTATATGCCTTAAAAATGAAGAAAAATTTGACACATCATGCAGCATGGGTGAATCTTGTAGACATTAGTGTAATGAAGCAAAAAAGAAAAAAATGCAATACTATCACACTAATCTGAAATATCTGTAGCAGTGAAATTACTCCAAAACTTTGAAAGCTTCTGGCCAGCATTTAGGGTAATGTGAATTGTTACTAAGTAAGGATTCTGCTTTGAAATGAGAAGTGTTTGGGAGCTTAGCTTAAAAGCAAAGGAAATATTACTTTAGAAAAAATAAAAATAAAATTTTATAACAGAATAATCAGAAAATAACAATAGTTTATAACATTACATATCATTTTGTTGGAAGGATGAATTAGAGACATTTATTGCCAAATGGATAGAACCTGAGACTATACTCTTAAGTGAAACAAATGGGAACATTACTACTATTAGTAAGCACTACAGGTATATATGCTGAAAACGTTATAGTGACAAATATTACTTATGCTTATTTAGCTCTAATTTATAACCAAATTTTCACAATTTAAACAAAAGTGAGTGGACTAACTTTTACTTCTTTATCCAGGAAACAACTGGGTGGTTGAGATTATTTGCCTGATTATCTCCAAGGGGAATCCTAAGTGGAGTCAATCTGTGCCTATTTGGGACCGCTCGCCCTGGATAGAGACAGACTATGGGCATAAATTAATAAGTGAAGCAGAGAGACCTTTGTTGTCCAGCTCCCACCTACCCTTCCAGCTATTTCCAAAATCTTTCTTTAGTTCAAAAGCCAAGGTAAGTTCAATAAAAGTGCAGAACTCTTTGTTCAATACTTCTAAAATTTGAAGCACTTATCTCTTAGAGGTTACTAAAACACACTTGCATATTTTATATCAAAGTATGACTTGATATTCAGAATCATCAGATGGGAGTAACTCTGCTGCTTGTCAGACCATTCCTGAGTACAAAGATGTAGACTATTTCAGATTATCCTATACAGAAATTAGGGTTAAAGTGATAAGTAAATGGAGGTCTCAGAAAAATAAAATCTAAGACATGTTTGAAAATATATCAGAGAGAGAGACAGACAGACAGACAGACAGACAGACAGAGACAGAGAGAGACAGAGAGAGACAGAGAGAGACAGAGAGAGACAGAGAGAGATAGAGTTGTTAGGTAAGTGGTGACTATTAAGTAAAGAACAAAGACAACCTGTAATTTGGAGTCTAGGCAGGACCTCCTGGAGTAACTTGCAAGGAGTTCAACTCTAGTTTATTTAGCTGGGTCTATACTGGATTTCTGGAATGGGTTTAAGTGAGGTGACGAGAATTGGGGTGTGAGATTGTGGAAGTGAGAATGGCTGAGTATATGGGCATAGCACTGGTTAATGTTCTGTGGTAGGTGAGATGTGATATTGCATGGGGGACAGGTGTGCTGTGCCCTTGAAGAATACACATTGTTCGCAGGCTCAGGCTGTCTGGAATGAGTGATTCCAGAAACTTGCCTGTCTATGAGGGTGATCAGAAGAAGGTCAGACATACCAATATATATTTATAATAATATATTAAGAACTCTTGCTATAGAAGACAAATTAGCCACGTTAATTCAGAATAATGCCACCTAGCAAGCAGATGTGACGCACCAAATAAAAACAATCTAAATTTTAAATAGATTAACAAATGAAACTATATATCTCTCCTAACAACTTTGAATACACAGATACAAAATGGACATTCATCTGTATACCCTTTTTCGTTAAGTTCCGTTATTGGACTCTTTTAGAATATTTTGCTGAGTTAACATATCTATAATATTCAAATAACGGAATTAAACAAAAAAGAGGGGATACAGATGAATGTTCATTTTGTATCTGTGTATTCAAAATGGTTGGGATAGATATATAGTTACATTCTCTTAATGAATAGAGGGATTTGTTCTAATAGTGTTTGTAAATAGAATATCATGTCTGCATCTTGTACAGCAATTAACCACTAGGAAGAATGCATGCAATGTGTTAAGTATTGAAACTGTCCTACCAATTTGATTTGAAACTGTCTCATTGCTATTAGTTTCTCAATAAAATTATGAGAAAAAATCACTTCCTGTGCCACAACTGTTACTGTACATAGAACTACAGTGATTTTTACATAAATTGACTCATAGCATATGAATTGAGCTGTCTGCGTTTTTAATATTTGGTCTGTTACTTTTCTACTAAAGCACAGCTACATATACCTCTCACCTTATAAATTTTCTAGATGATTTCCCTGCTGAGGATCCTACTACCTCAGAAGAGAAGTACAATTTATTCCCTTCTATTTTTATATTCACATGATAATACTGGTTTGTAGGAATACTAAATTGTACATATTATTGTTGAGTTCTGAAACCAAGTCATTAAAACATCTGACAGGGATTTTATCAATTTTTCAACAAAATTTACATAATTTTTAGGGTCAAAATAAAGTAAATGGCTGTTTTGAATATTCATATCCTTATTGTTTTTCTGTTTAAGGTGATTTATATCATGAGAAATCCCAGAGATATTCTGGTGTCTGGTTTTCATTTCTGGAATTCATTTAAAAGTAATTCAGATGTGACTTCTCTGGAACAATATTCAGAAAGGTTCTTACAAGGAAATGGTGAGTGTAATGCAATTGCAGGAGATGCGAAAGTGGATACTGAGTTAGAACACCACTGACACAAACTCTGTCACTGAATTTCACCAAATATCAAGTCATCCCACTGCAAACAAAAAAGCCAAGTTTTCTTATTTTAGTATGCAGTTGGAGAACTGCAGTCCACCACCAACCTCCTCCTTTATTAACCATCCTGGCTGTTTTCTCATTCTTCAGAGTTAGCTGTAGTAACAGACTGTCTATTCTTTCTTTGAACTCTCTTCATTTCTTACTCTTCTTACCGTAGCTTCTACTGGGGTTCCCAGACAAAAGCATTATGAAGTCCCACAGTTTTGTTAAACATCCATCCTTCCAAAGTTCTCTTCATTCTCTTTTTCCATTCAATAAATACTTACATGATTTTGAGATTAATGTATGGTAAAATAGAATTTCTGGGATTTCCATTCGTTTAATTTTATGAATATTTAGCCAGTATATATAACATGATATAAATAGAAGGG